CTTTTAACAACGAGGATATGGATGATCATGCTCAAGAAGCAAAGCTCATGAAAATCATAAATGACATGTTTGTGCAGAATGGGAATACCTAATATTCTAATGAAGCATTCAAAATGGTGGATAAAGAGATTTCTGAGTTCCAACAGCAGTATATACAGAAGATCAATGATATTATTGAATTGGAGAAAAATTATATTAAACAGACCTATGTGAAAGAATGGAATGACTTCATAAAGAGAATGAATGAAGAAAGACAACAACATGAGACAGAAAAGCAGCAGCTAGAAGAGATGATAAGAGAGCTGGAAGAGAAGAGAAATTAACTAAATAAGTAGCTGCAAAAGGAAAAGCTGAAATACCAAAAACTCCAAGCTGATGAAGAACACAGGAGAGTGCGGGAAAAAAGGTTTAGGGAAGAGATCGATAGAAAAAGAGAGAGAGACTACAAGAAAATAGACTACAAATACATCAAAATTGCAAGAGGAAAAGCAGCAGATTCCAGTGAATTTCTGAAGAAGGTTTCCATAGGACTAGGAGGATTAGCACTGTTGGCAAAAGGAGCTGGAATAGGAGTGGCAGTGATTGGCACAGGCGTGGCGAGCACAGGGGGAGCCGCAGGGGCAGGGACTGGACTGGCAGCTACGCTAGGAGGCTGGATAGCAGAAGCAGCTGAAGCTCCTGCACTGGCAGCAGTAGCTCAGAATGCCCCAGCCATAGCAGTGGCAGCTGTAGAGGTGCTACCAGCTCTGGCTGCAGCAGACTGCTGTGTACAGTAAAGTGATCCCCCGGGTGAGCACACTCTGGTGTGTGAGTAAACATCTGTCCACGGCACATCAGGCTCATCTTTGCATCAGCACAATCTGGCTCCCGGGTCACTGTACATTTCTTCCTGGCTCTCGTTTTGACTGCTTTCTAAAAAAAATAATATTCTTGACCAATTTACCAGGCTAGCTTCATTTATCAGATATGTAAAGGAAGCGGCTACGGTTCTATACAGTGAAATTAAAAGAATAATGAAAGTAATTTAATGGTTTGTAGTCTCCGTTTTACTATTAGAGACCATTCGGGGCACCTCCTGAAACAAATGGTAAAACTCACCCAAAATCCAATAGTGTATGAGGTCAGTACTCTTACATAGTGGATAAAACTCAGGTTCCATTGTGTTCTATGTTTCATAATTTATCAATTAATAATGCTAAGGGTTTATAGTCATAGATCTGATCTGTATATTACCCTGGGTTATAGTTCTGTGCCTTCACAAATGTTATGCATGTTTTATGTATCACTGACTACTTCATATTTGTCACTTTGTCACATTGAATTTTACACATTCATTACTTGTATTTTTACCATTTAATTAATTGCTTAATTGCTTGAAATTTTAGTTAGTTGAGCCTTTTGGGAAATTGTATTTTAGCTACTTTTCCTTATACAAATGTCTCCATAATTATGTTATTATTCGTTTTAATAATACATTCATTATACTCCTTCTAGCGTTTATTAATCCTCACATATGCATCCCAAATTTGTGACCCCCTTAGTTTGACAATGGTAATAACAGCAGCTACTGTAAAGTCAAAAATACAATAAACTGGCTAAATAAGGTGGATCCCAACATTATCACATGCCAATGAATGTTAGGACAGGTGACCTGTAAATTCTGTAAGAATTGTAAAAGTGAAGAACTTATATTAACTTACAGAATAAGGTACATTTGATGGACCTAAAGTGATAGTGTTGCATGTTGTGGGCTATTTCAATGCTTTTCAATTACATCAACTTCACTAAGTATCCTGAAGGCGCAGTATTACAGATTCCATTTGGCCTGAAGGAGAGGCAGTGGCAGAGCAGTGTCAAGACTTTGGAGCAATCTCTGCTAACATGTCAACTGTGCCTCTTCAGGTGGCAGCAAGTGGGCCATTTGGAATGTCTATAACCTGTCACTCTCTACACTGTGAAGAGACTTTCATCTAGTTTGCATGGACTGAGCGATGGAGCATGCACAACAAGTGTAGGAAAAAACTGGAGACAAGCAGAAGATTGATGTCTCTGCTGTAAAACTGAATCTGCTTCCACTGTCTGGCACTTTGTCAAAATGCAATAATTCAGAGCTCAGCACATGCAACTTGCTGATACCAAGGCCTCATCCTAGAAAAGAGCTTTGAGAGAATTTCCTACATTATTATTTTGCCTTGAGCTATAGTTCTTCTCCTTCACAAATGTTAATCATATTTTTTGCTTTACTGACTGCTTCTTATCTGTTGCTTTGATTTTTACACACTAGTTCATTGTTTTTATTTTCATGATTAATGGATCTTTGGGTTTCTTTTGTGGGGGATTTAGTTGCAATCTTTGGTTGGGGTTCTAACATGCTGTATAGGGGATTCTATCCACTTTATACTGTATGCATGTCTTAATAATTGTTATTATCCATTTTAATAATAGGATTTAATAAAAAGGTATAATAAAGAATATGTTGGCTGTACTCTTTTTACTGATCTTCACATACGTATGCACCCAAAATTTTGATTCCCTTGATTTAATAATAGCAATTGTTGCATGTCTGAAAAATTAATAAACTCACAGGCTTACCTGGTACATACAGTAATAGGTTCTCATCATATTCACAAATGCGTATAAGTAAGACATAATGAGAATTATTAGGAAAAGCTGTTGTTTGAATAAATACAACAGTTCACTTAATACTGATATAGTAGAGGTAATAATAATAGTGAGTCCTTACACTTACTGTATATAGTGCTTTTCTGGACACCCCTCTAAAAGCTCTTTACTGTAATGGGAATTCCCCTCCACCACCACCAATGTGCAGCCCTCATCTGGATGATGCAACGGCAGCCATAAAGCACCAGTACACTCACCACACATCAGCTATAGGTGGGGAGGAGAACAGAGTGATGAAGCCAATTCATAGATGGGGATTATTAGGAGGTCATGATTGGTAAAGCCATGGGGAACATTTTGGCCTGGGCACCGTGGTAACATCCGTACGTTTTTCTAGAAACGCTCTAGGATTTTTAATGATGACAGACAGTCGGGTCCTCGGTTTTATGTCTCATCTGAAGGATGATGCTTTTTTAAAATAGAGTGTCCCTGTCACTATAATACTAATACTAAGCAAACACCTTAACTTAATATAATGTTTCTAATTAGACAAAACAAACAAATGAGAACAGTCCATTTGCACCATCTTCCCATTTAGTAGTTGATCCAAGAATTTCAGCCAGATGTTTCTTGAGCATCAGAATTGTTTTTCTCATCAAACAAGTTATCCATTTCAGTTATTTCTTGGAGATCTTGATGCTCAAGCACAGTAAAACTGTCCTTCTGCATTCCCTCATTTAGTGGCCTTTGTATATCTCCATCTTCATTTGGTGATTCCAGATGGTACCCATTGGTCTGCTTTATTAATTGGTGTGGAAAACTGTTAACATCAGGGTTTTGCACTGAAGCACTAGTCTTTAGGTTGGTGTCCCTTTGTTGTGTGGGTGATACCTAAGATGATATTCCTCTTCTGATTCACTGTCAGAGTCCTGTTGAGTCTGTGGTCCCTTATAAGATTTCCTTTTCTGCTGCAGAGATCCGTTTCTCTCTGCTTTTGTACTGTATGGAGTCAACTCAGGTCTTTCCACTGGTAAGTAATTGCATGGTAGCAAGAGATTCCTGTGGATCACTTGACTTTTACCTCCGCCACTCTCAGAAATCACTAGATGCTCCAGGAATAGTGTGTGTGTGACACTTGAACCACTTAGTGCCAAAACAGTTAAAGCTACTCTTACGTTGACTTCAGAAGAGGTCAGAAAATACTCCAAGAACACTGTCTGCACAAACTTCACGACAGCCACAGCACATCCTTTTCAGCCACACAGACCACTCCAGAGTTTTAAAAGTGGTCATATTGTTTCAGGGAACCTTTGAACATTCAGTTTCTCTTCAACTTGCTTACCTTTATTATCAACTAAACAGCTAGTAACAGATCAACAAACATCATTCAACATTAAGAGCTGAGAGCAAACTTAAAAATATGCTGCCAAAATTAAAATCAATTGGGAACTGAGGTGGAGGAAGAAAATAATACAGCTCCCAGTGGCCAAGGTTTGAGAAGTAACCATTTAACACATAATCTTAATTATTTTTATCTGTTTGGCTGCTTAGACATGTCTGCCAAATTAAGGAACATTTTGCTTTCATTATCACTGTTAATAATTTAATTAGAATAAAGTCCTCTGCTGTGTTAGCATATTTTGTGTTACAGTTGGCAAATTTTATTTTTTCCTTGATTATATTGTCATTGTATTTAATTTATTTTAACCCCCATCATGCATTTTAGTTAAAGGGGTCAATAAAATGAACACAAGATCCACATAAATTCCTAAGAATTCAGCCCATCTAGATCGTTTGCGAGGGTAAGGTTTGCTAAGATTTGGTGGCACAAGATGTCACTAACCCGATTGAAAGGGAGGTTTGGGAGGTCAAGGAATTGTATTGATTGATATTATATTTTTTTCTTAATCAAAGGAAACAATTTTATTTATTATTAATTCCTATAAGTGAATTCAAACAAAAAATACGTGTCTTTCACTACAGGGCAACATCAACGAGTTACATATTTAAGAGATGGGGTAGGGGACTTTTTACTTCAAAATAAACTAAACGATTTTTAGTTAGAAGGTATTCATCAAGCAAGAGATCCTAATTATTATTAGTTTAATTAAATAGCATTAGTATTTTTGTTGTTTTTATGTAGATTAAATAAATTAAGCGAGGTCTGCGCTGTAAAAACGTTTGAGAAGTAAACGATTTTGTAGAGAGAGATACAGTATACTGTACTGTTTTAGTCTCTCGGCGGTGGGAGAGTGTTATTACGGAACTACAATTGCCAGAGAACATTGCGCTAAATCTCGCGACGACCTTTGGATTCTTTTGATTGGTTATTCTTAAGGGCAGTGTCATTTGGGATTGGTGGGAAAGGATGTCTCTGTTTGATGACGATTATTGTTGTGTATTTGGCGATGGAGGAGAGAGAAGCCTTGAAGAAGCAGATTGAACTGTTGCAAAGTAAGTTATGTTTTTTCTTTCCCTGGGAACAGAAAGAAATATGAGAGTTGAGTGTTCTGGGTCTCTTGAGTAGCGAATTCTTTATGCTAAAACTTTACTTAGAGTTGTAAGCTTATTTTTGGTGTCGTGTCTGTTTCGAGTTGAGCAACTCTCGAACTATGTCAAGCCTTAAATTATTGAATTATTGGCACTTTCTCAATAAATCGCAAGATTTATTATCAAGAAAACAAACTTGATGCAAGCGGAAATGTTCTTAAATAGGACCGTGCCGTTATTACGACACAACGAGCTCATGACATTCTCTGTACCATCTGCTGACCTGTACGACAGCTGACACCAGATCTTATCGAGGACGTGTCCGAATGGGGTTATTTTAAACCTGCAATATCATCCAGGTTTGTCGATTCCTCAGTGTTTTACAGATTTGAAGAATACCCTTTGAAAAATTTGAGATAAAAGCATTCAGGGGAGTTCCTCTTTGGTAAACCCTTTCGTTTATTGGTGGAGGAACAGGTTGAGTTTAAGCTAATGGCAGCAGTTGTATGAGCTTAATTTAAGGTTTTACCGAGCGGATATGTCGCTAATGGTTCTTCACGCAGCACGGAAAGTTATTCTAGTAGTTTTACGGTTTTGTTTCATTAATTGTCTATTCATGTCTTATAAGTATAATTCTGAATTGTCTCTGAACTGAACGTCATACACTAACTGGACAGAATTTTAGGGTTCTCCCCCAACATTTAAGTGTCAGACTTTTGTGAGTGGCAAGAACAGTTTGAATAGGTTGTGGTGTGCATACCACAGGGGTATAAAACAAATTCAGGTTCCATCCCATTCTTCAGGTGAATTAAGCTGGGATGCGCTGAGCGTAATGGAGAGTGGGATTGAAATGTGCGCAGGTGCCTCTTTTTCCGAAGATCGGTTCGATTTAAGCGGGGGAAGGGATGTGAGTCTTTTTCTCATGCTCTCCAAACCAACCTCACATTATCTGCTTGTCATTTGATTGATCTAGAACAGGGTGGCACAGTAGCGCAGAGGTTAGCATTACTGCCTTGTGAAGCCATTGCTACCCAGGTTGTGTTAAATCTGCAGATTAAAATCGTGCTATTGCAAACATTGCTTATGGTTCTCCCTTATTTGTTCTAGTGTAAAAGATGATGAGCATTAAAAATCAAGTATTTTGCTGATATCATGTTCTTTGTGCTACGGAATACTAAAGCAAAGTTTGCAAAACTATAGATTTTCCACAAAGGTATTTTAATTGATCATCTGAATTCATAAATGCAAGTAGTAGTGGCAAATGATCTGTGTACTCTCTTCTGACTTCTGGTTCTTGCTCTTTGTGCACAGCTCTTATCAACAACCACAAAAGTGTCCATGGAGATGCCCCTTCAGGCGCTCGGACTTGGAGTCGTCCCCGTCAGGCTACAGCCAGCAGCCAGAGTCGAAGCACAGAGTTCTCCCGCTCTCACCCAGCCCAGACAAGACCCTTTGAATCCCAGCCTCCAGGGTACTGGAGGAAGAAGTACTCTCTCAGTAACAAACACACTGCTCCAGAGGGTACAGTGGTCATTCACACTGGCCCTGCTGGAACAGCTGTCAAGAGTGCAGTGAGTTCCTCTGTACAGCACCTTCCAAACCAGCCTGTGGGCCCTTCCAGTTCCTCCGGTGTTACAGCTGACCCCCAGATCACCTCTGCTTCAGCCACATTGCTCTCAGGGAACTCTGCTCTGACTGCTAGGCAACAGAGCAAAGGACTCTTAATCAGCAAGCACCAAGCTGCCTTATCCTCCAGTCTATTATTATCTTCAGGTTTGAACAACAACCTCAGTCAGCAGAACCCTGTGTTGTTGTTGTCGTCACAGGGTTCAGACACTGGTTTGACAGGGAAAAGCAAGACCATAAAGAATTCAAGCCTGACACAGGCTGTTTTAATTCCCAAAGGATCCCAAAACAGTGCTCTTCCTTCAGGACCTGTTTCCACATCCCCCCAGACTTGTGGCCTAAATGAAAATGTGCAGCCCAAGCCCTCGTCATTACCTCGGGCTGATAGTGGAGATGGTTCATCAGGCCATGTAAGTATGAGCCACGGTTGTTCTCTTGACAAAAAAACAGTGTCTCCAAAAGCAAGTGTCCTGAGAGCTAAAACCACAACTCCGTCAACTTTGTTGCAGGTCAAACCCCATTTCCTCAGCAAATCAGTGAAAGACCCAAAGCCTGCGAGCAGTGATCCTGCTTCCATTACATCTCATCATATCACCAAGATCACCTCTAGTGTTCTCTCCAGCTCCTCTTCACAAACTGATACAGGGTCTGATGCAGGAGATAAAAATGCTGGCAAGCTACTAACTGCCCTCCCGCAGCCTTCCAGTGTCTGGGGCAGAGCTGCCTCAGTCAAGAGATCTCGGTACACCTGGGTCAAGAAGACACAAGAGGGGCTGGCTGGGCCCAGCCACATTGAGGCATTTAAGGGCTCTGGCACTGCTAAGCCTGCCCTGTCACCAGCCTCTCAACCCCATGCCCCATCACTCAGTTCTGGCAAGAAAAGGACTGTGGCTGCCAGCAGGACCTTGAGGATTTCAAATCCATCCCCACCACCTCTAGGCACACAGCTGCCAAAAGCAGCCAAGACACAGTACACCTGGGTGTCTGCAGCTGCTCGCCCCCCTCAACCCAGCAGGAAGCCCCTGTCCCCTACCCAGAAGGCTGGGGGTTTGTCCAAGAATCTGAAGCTCCGAGCGAAACCCACTGCCCCCCATATGGTGAAATCCAAGAAGGCAGGCGGGGTCTCCTGCCCCCAGCAGGCTCAGGGAAGTAAGTACCGCTGGAGGGCTGCAGCACAGACTCAGGCAGCTGCCGCTGCCAGCAGGTCAGTGTACCAGTGGAAGGTGGAAAAGGAGAATGGCCACCGGGCGGAATCAGGGCATTCATCAGTCATCCAGGCCCCCCACAGCAAACCTGTCCTCTCCCCCTCCCCTTCCCCCTACAAACTGAAAAGCAGGATGAAGATCATCAGGCGTAAGAGTTCTGGCAGGTAGGTGTCTGAGGAGGGCTGTGAGCCACAAATGGTTGATGCTGCTTTTTGGTCTGCTGCTAAAATTGCTCTGCAAACTCTGACCTTTACAGATATGGCAGAATAATTTAGTCCATTCATAAGTCAGTTCATTTTTAAAAATTGTATTAAGGGCCCTTTGTTGATGGATAGTAAACCCCAGTATTTTACATTGTGGCAGAAAACCCCAGGTTATTCATGTACACAAAGTAGAATGAAGCTGTTTAGAAAAAGTTAAAAAAAACTTTGATAGTAGACAATTTAAAATTGTGTGAAAACATTTATTATACAAATGGAGTATTAATGTTTTAGTCACGCACTGCAAGGAGATTCTTATTGTGATACTATAACTATAACTATGGTTTATTCACTTTTATTCAAATCTTAAGATTTTGGGTAATGTAAAATAAAAAGAATGTGGTTAATTACTGCATTTTCTCACATATTCATGCATGAAGTGTTCTGTTACAAACTGCTACCACCAGAGGGAAACAAAACAAGATAACAGGGTTACTGTCCTGGTGATTCACAGAAGTTTTTTTTTCTGTTATATAACTGGCCTGTCTTTATATATCCAGATAACCTCTAAGAACAGTACTTCAATTCCATATCTATAATCTTGAACAATGTGGTGGCGAGGCAGCTCTTGGGTCCAGGGTTTGATTCAATACTGTGGACGTTGGATGTTCTCCCCTTTGTTTGTGTGAATTTCCTCTGGGAGCTCAGCTTTCCTTCCACAGTCCAAGGACAAGATGTCTTGCTTCTTTGGCAACTGTAAGCCCTGTAAACTGTAAACTTGTGTGAGTGTGCCCTGCAGTGGAGAGTCCAGTCTAGGGTGAAGTCCCAACTCATGTCCTGTGCGCCACAGCCTTTCCCAGAGCAACCTAATGAAAGAAGGATCTGATCCTTTAAATCATATTGGCTGAGCAAATACAAATGTCAAACTTTTTGTTTCCTTGTATTTGTGAGCAGTTCTGTGCTATGACAGTGGCAGTTTTATAGCGTGGAAGTGACTTAAAAGATAAAAGAGAATAAGCGAGGTGGGAAAAAAGTGCCACTTTTTTAGAAGATGGTAGAATCTCCATGATAAGACCAGGTTTTGGAAAGACGTGTCGAGTGTTCCGAGCCTGTGAGCGTCGTGCTGTGATAACTCTCAGTATGGCTCTTCCCTCCTGTAGCGTGGCTGTCGTCGAGCGGAGGGGCAGCGCTGACTGGCTGATGGTGAAAACGCAGTTCTCCTTGCGCCGACGCAGGCAGTCGGTTGGGAAGAGTCCGCCTTTAGCCAGGAGAGCCCCAGCGAAGGGGCTGGTGCCCATTGGCAGGCACAAACTGCGCCGGCTCCCCAGTGCCAGCAGCCAGGGCTCTGCCAGGACAGGTAGGAAAAG